TAATTATTTTCTGAATTGGAAATCAGTAATTACAAATTTATATGCATATGTGTGAGTAGATTAACGTTTGTGCAAGGGATCCACATTTGTGTGAATAAATAGGCTGCCTTTTCAATTGAATCGAAAAATCTTGAAACTTAAAATAGATAGTTTGAAACGGGATAAAGATTAGGGTGACCGTTTGAATATGGGTTAGGGGTATACTCAGGGTTACGAGCTCATGATTAGTAGGTGTTTAAAATCGTACCATACACGATAATGACCAACATGTACACACTGTCCTGACTTCTGAAACCAGTATTAACAAGATAAATAGAATCCCAATACTATCCATATGAAAATAAAAAGATAGTATGATCACCAATGAAACACATATCCATCATAGTTCAAATGACAAAGATAAAAGCAATAAAAGGTCAACGTATAGCCTGCAACAATTAAAAAAAACCCACATCGTATAGTCGTTAACAAATAATTGAATTCAGCAATTCAACCGAGAAAACGTATAGTCTGATTGATGCAATACATTTTACGTAAAACATATATGACAGACATAAGACAACAAGAGCCACTGCATAACTGGCTCCTAATTCATGACAGAGACATGAATATAAAGACTGTGGGGTATAAATCACGTTTGAGAACGCTCAAATCCCTTCAACTGGGACAGGGGTGATACAACACAACATAAAAATAAACTGAAAAAATCAGTTGCAAATGACATGAATGATTTAACTCAGTAAGTACTAGTAAATACAGTTTTGTTTGTGATTGTGGATATCTGATGTTGTTGTGTGTGATTGTGAAATTATCGAAGGTGTTGCTTATTTCCTATAAAAATAATAAATATGCTACGATGAAGAAGATTTAACAAATACTATTTAAAGCAAAGAAAAGAAATACAGTAATTTTATCAAATAGACTAAATTAATATATAATCGAAATTGTATTATTTCTTTAGATAGACAAATGTTTGGTGTGTAACCGATTTCAAAATCCTGTTTTTTTTTTTTAATTATTTCGCAGGAAGTTTAGGTTATACATGTTTATTAGCTCAATAAATTAAAGTTAAAGTGTATTTGTGAGGTCATTTATGTTTGCATTAATTTTAAATGAACTATAAATAGAAACGAAAGTAAATGTTAGGGAAGTCCGCGTTACCAGGTAAATAAAGTTAGAGTTAACAACCAAAATGGCAGGTAAGAACGTATTTTATTGTCTTCCTTCCATCGGTTTCTACTTCACCCACGGTTTCTTGATAACAATCTTAAGCTTAATCCTTTGTGCTTATAAAACATATGTTAAGCTGGCATACTCGCCAGGATACATTTATTACCCCTTATTAAAAACTAATATTCATGTTAGAATACGTTCGTAGGTAAAAGGTAAAATAACAAAACTACCGAACTTTGAAATTCAAAACGGAAAATCCCGAATCAAATGGCAAAATCTAAAACCCAAACACATCAAACTAACAGTGTTTCATTGAATCTTTCTGAAAACTGACGAATAACATGAATAATTGTTCTTACAATATTGCATATTCTTGCAAGGTTTAAATAAAATAATACTGCTCTTGATACAAAATTTTAACATACAGCACAACAACGAAACTTTATCTGCATATCAGATATTTATCAACTTTCCTAAAGTATATTTGAATGTGTAAGCCCTCTGTTGACTATACCTTAACCTAAGAAATTATAAATACAAAACATATAAAACTACACAAAACGTCTGGAATTATGTTAACCTGCTTTTAATGTTTTCTTAGTAAAGGTTAGGTTTCAATTTCGTCAAAATCGACCCGAGTCTCAACTATACTTGCCTAAGTCTGAACCATTCTAAACCAAGTGTTCACAATCTTCGACCAATTTTGATTATGTCTTTCCTAGTTTTCATATTAATTTTCTTATACAGGTACCAACAGGTACTTTATAAGTAAATTACCAGACAAGAAAATCAATGTAAAACAAGAAATTTTATAGAACGCCAAAACTGTCTTATTATGCCATTTTTCATCATATGATGTGCATTTACGTTTGTATGATGTACTTGTCATTATATGTTGTGCACAAATGACGTGGTTTGGTTTACTTCATCATACGATGTCAAAACGATCTTTGGGATGTGCTTTAAACGTTGCTATGATCAATCATAATGATTACCATTAGAAATACTGTCTTCGTCATAACTGATTTCGATCTGATTCTCAAGAATTACTCTAAACCCAGTCGAAATATAAATTGCAAAGTTTAGGTTTAGTCAGATGTCTATAAAAATCTGCATTAGGTTAATGTTATAGAATTATGGGTCCTCGATTGTTTGTGTTGATCACTTAGGGTACAACTATTTGATAAACCAGATCATTTTCTGCATTTTTTTTTTTTTTTTGGAATACCGGTTAACTGTTTCTGATATAGCAGCTCTAGCCTCGTAGCAGGGTCCAAAAGGGTACTTTATAGAAATAATGAGACAGTATATTTGCCGCTTTATCTACTTAATTTCCTATACCAATTAAATGGCAGTCACTCTTCAAAGTATTTAATATCAATAGTTACCAAATTTTCTACACATGCATAAGTATACTGGTATGGATGATTGATTGATTAATTACTTGATTTATTAGTGTTTAACGCCACTTTCAGCATTATCGTGTTATTTCAAGGTGGTTAGTTTGTATTTGAGGATGTACGCTATAGTGCCCGGAGAGGAAGGAAAACGGAAAATATTGTCAAATAAAATCACAGTCGAATTTATCTGACTTCCTGTGTCGGATTATAGCTCTCAGGCTAAATGTTGACAGGCTAATGATACAATTGTTTGACCATTTTGACCAGTCTGCCTCATAGGGCCGCATGCATGGATGAAATTATGAATTTACGGTAAAGGTTTTTTTTATCATATTTTGACCGCAGCCGAGATATTCTATAACTAGCTGATGTATTAATTGATCTAAATCTTTATCGGAAAAATTTTAAATCCTATATTGATTTTTGTTTAATTGCGCTGTCTCATTTTCTATAAAATACTCATCGAAAGCTGATACTAGTCTGAAGCTGTTAGATCATAAACAGTAAATTGCTATTCCAAGATATGAAAAAGCAGAATATCTTCTAATTGATCAAATATTAGAACTCCAGGTGCTCACTACACAATCGCGAACTTTAACTGTTTGCATTTTATTGTAGGCCCATCATTTAAACCTTGACTTTGCAATTCATATTTTTACGATTTTCGAACAAAATATAACATGTACTTTTTCTTTAAAATGAGGTATCAACGTGACAATATTTAGCTTTTTTTAAATCTCAACCATTTTCCAAACGATAGCTACTTACTAGATCGTTCTAATCGTAATGATATTTGTTGACCATAACAACGATGAACGCACATCATATAAGGACGTTTATACTTGATATAATGAGGTCACCGAACCACATCATATAATATTACAAGTACTTAATACAATGACAATAAAGATGTTTCCACACCCTTTAAGGGAAAATCCACATCATATATGGATAGTTGTACATCATATCAGGCATGGGGCGAATTACATTGCAATGTAATGCATTATATTACAATTACTTTGACAAAACCATGCATTAAATTACAATTACAATTACATGCATTTAAGTAATGCATTATATTACAATTACTTTTGCAAAGTAATGCATTGAATTACACATTACATTTGTAAATGTTATTATTAAGTGAAAAAAATTTAAACATTTGAAAAACAACATGAAATCAGAAGAGATTCTAGCATATATATGCAATAACTATTTCTTATACATATTACATTAAGGTATCAAGTAAAAAGTCTTTTCAATACAACTATTACATTTTAACATCATTAGGGTTTCAATATATACATCTCCGTGTTTTCTTTAAAAAGAGATTACAGAGATGAAATTTAATATGTTAACTTCAATTTTATAAATATACATTTGTTTTATAAATTCCAATCAAAAATTTGTACAGAGGAATTTCTTTTCTAACTAAATTATAAACAAATAGCTTAATTTATGAACATTGATTGCAAAACAAACAAATTAGTGTATTATAAAATGTTCAATTTTCTGTTATTTAATCTTGACAAGGTTGTCATTGATGTTTGAACAGCAATAAAACACTTTTACAGTAATGCTTGTCAAATAAAAAAAATCAATATCCAAATGATGTTTTTAATTCATCCAGAAATCTTAAATTCAGTGAAAGATATATACTATGTGAAAAAAGTAATGCCATATCATGCAATGCAATGCATGAAATTACACAATTTTTCTCTCGAGTAATGCATTAAATTACAATAACATGTAAAGCAAAAAATGCTGCATTACACATTGCATGCAATTACTTGGAAAAATGTAATGCATTACCATGCATTGCAATTACAAATTTGCATTACCCCATGCCTGCATCATATCAGTACATTTTAATCATGTTCATATCATATAAAGGTGTTTGAACATCGTATTATGACAAGTGCACATCACATTAATATAAATGCACATTTTAATGAAACGAAAATAGGCATAACAAGATAGTTTTGGCGTTCCATATAATTTAATGTTGACGCACATTGTTCAGATCAGAGAATATAGCCATAAAAGCTATATTATGAAAAATTTAACCAAAAATTGGGGTCTGAAAAAAAAAACTAATTTAATATCACCTAGTTATGCCAAAACTATTTCTATGCTGAATATTAAGGGTTTTTTTTTTGGCCAGATATGACGAATAAATTAATAAATCTTTGGGCAATTTTTAAGAATTCGCAAACTCAATAATTTTTCTTATTTTTGTTTTTTACAGAAACAGCAGTCACAAATGCATCAATAACTTTGTATCATTACCTATGTCAGAATATTGTTGGAATAGAAAAACATGTAAGAATATTCAGATTGATGAACAATATCAGAGACAATTTACAGAGCAACAAGAATTGGACATTAATTACCAGTGGAAGTTTCGGAGAGGGACTAGTGATGCGCGGTAGTGATTAAGATATAATGGCGGTAGTGAAAAGATTGAGGTATGTGAAGACATACACATTTATTTCAATGGTGATAAAATACATTTCACAATGGAACAAGAAGATACACAGCCAGGTTTCACAAAGTTACGCCTAGTGCACAGTAATGACCACAATATTTCAAAAGACTGTATTTATATCGGTAGTGATTTTTACTTGTCAAATATTTTATTCAAACAAACATTTTCAAAGAACTTATGGACTGTACATGGGCCATGTGTGACCGATGTCAATGGATTATATGACTTTGCAAACTGTTTACATTGTAAATTATGGATAACACCAGCAAAACAATGGGTAACACGGTCAAATAACTCATGGCCGAGATTTGATGTCAAACAGGCTATTGTAAATCACGGGGTTCTATTTGTACCTGTAGGTGTAAAAGAATCTTCACAAGAAGATTTAGAATGGCGAATATCATTTTCCGTTGGCGAAAAACTTCTTATGTATTCGTTTACACATACACAATTATTATGTTATGCACTCCTGAAAATTCTTCTAAAAGATGTTATAGCATTATACATTGATTGTCAAGAATTACTTTGTTCATATTTCATGAAAACAATTCTGTTTTGGATAAGCGAAGAATTGCCTCCATCAATATGGAAACCTGAAAACTTGATATCTTGTTTCATGAGATGCTTCAGGAGGCTTATATATTGTGTTGAATACAAAGTTTGTCCGCATTATTTCATTCCAGAAAATAATCTATTTGAGAAAAAGATACAAGGGCAAGCACAGAAAACACTTTTAAAGAGGTTGTATATTCTAAACAGTTGCGATTGGGGATGCATCTTTATTTCGGACCAAATTCCGAATTTGGATGAACTTTTGGTTATAAGCAAAGAGACAAGTTATTTGTATGCCAAGAGTGTTGAAAGATTACTAAACGCAGACATATTTTTTATCGATTTTTTGGGTTCTTTTTTGGATTGTCGTTTGGAAAAGGTGATATACAAGATATTGTCAAGTAAGAGTTCAAAAATCAAATACCTGTTTACAAACTACATTACAAAATTTTTTTGCAAAAGGAAGGGATTAGATAATATTTCCTATAATAAATCTACCTATAAAGAGAACAATACTTGTATAAGTACACTGCTACTGAACACACCTCATGACGCTGTATCTGGATGGCTGTTGTTAGCTTCGTTTTTCTACAGAAGAAAACAATACAATACAGCTCTCTACATTATTCAGTATTCTCTTTTAAAATGTTCACCAGAAAAACTTCAAAAATTCATGCAGTTAACAGATATTCATTACGAGCTATTTGATTTACATTTATTTAGGAATATGACTATTGTTCAGTTATGGAAATTCTTGCTTTTAGGTTTGGTGTCCATCAAAAGCTCTGAATTACAACCGGATGAATTACAAATGGTAAAACATAACTTTTTTCCTCCAATAGTATATGCTCATTTCATTCATTTTCTATGCCATTATCATCTACAAAATGGCAGGCAATGTTATGATTCCCTACGGGATCTACAGTTGACTATAGAGGCCAACTATTGTATAGCTCATCCCACGTTGAGAGGTACATCTTACTACGTCCTTGGTATTAGTTGTCAATTGTTAGGTGACATAGAAGGAGCGAAACTAGATTTCATGCGTTCTATATTATTATTTCCCCATCAAAAACATAACAGAGCATTCCAACAATTGTCATTGATAAGCTGAACGTGATTTTGTTGATGTTGATAAACGTGTTGATATATATTGCTGTTATATTTTTATATCAAGTATTATTTTGATTAAATGCCTTAAACAGTCATAGTTCCAAATTAATGTTACTGTTAGTCTTGATGTTTGTAAATCAAAGAAAACAATGTATGGGAATCATAAAGATGACCCCGTCGACAAAAAAAGCGTGTTACCCTGTCCGTATAACTGTTTAAAGTCACAAAGCCCACACATTCGACAAAATTCATTAGGCGAAACCAATCGCAATCTTCGTCTCTAACATATCGTAGTGAAATCACCAAAAAAAATAACCAAATATGCGGAGGTGTGTATAAAACGTCCGTATAACTGTTATTTTCATGACATTTTAAAAGTTCAAATCCTGTAACTTCACCAAACAACAATGGAGCGGAACCAAACGTATACCCGATCTGTTACTGATTATCGTAGATTCATATACTAACAATCAGTATTAGGGTTTGAGTTGTGTGCTTCGTGTTATGATAAGACTAGGTTTACTCTCAAGAAAATACTACTGTACAGTTCAATATTACACTATTACATAGATACGCGACATCATATAGTTAATAGCGACGGCACATATAATAACGCTTTACGCTCCCGCAATCCTCGTCATCCTGGGGGCCACTGAAATGAAAATTACATGTACTAAGAAAAAAAAATTTTACAATCACAAAGAATAAAAAAGATTTTACTAATACTGTCTCTGTAATACACTTTTAACTAAAATCACAATTATATTTAAAATTGCATCTCGGTCATAGAATGTCATTGAAAGTGAACACCACTGTAACATGTGTAAAAGTCCATAAAACAGATTATACAGTCCATACTCACTATTTCAATCGTAAAAGTCCTTATTCTTCCTATCTAACTGTGACGGAAACGAAGAGAATATTGCGTTTTACAATTTTCACTTTTTGGTCCTTGTAATTCAAACGGATATGATTTAACAATTGGTCTGTTTGTTATACCAGTATCTGTTTTGGTGAAAGCAGATCGTATAAATCCATCTTTTCCACGAACCAAATCCTTCACGACAGCTAACCTCAACATAAGTCTTCTAGAATCGTTGTGAACTTAAACGATGTCTCCTACTTCAATAGTTTGAATGTCATTACCAGTTGCACGTGGGGATGTTAAATATTCATTCCTCCAACGTGTACGGAAATGTGCCATACGTTGATGTTGTCTCTGAAGTAATAATTAGAATTGTGGAAGTTTTCAATATCATCCATTTGATGTGGTAGCGAATCCAATCTCCTCCCGTTAATTAAGTGCGATGGCGTAAGTGGTTGTGGATCGGTTATGTCTGTTGATATATATGTAATCGGACGATTATTTAGCATATTTTTAACTTCACTTACTATGTCAATAGTAACAAACGATCGACCTAATACTTTTTTAATTGCATTTTTCGTAAGTCCTGTAAGTCCTTCCCACCGTCCACCAAACCACGGGGCTTTATTTGGGATACATTACCACTAGGTTCCGCGATCCACCACTTTTTGTTGAATTGATTCGGCTGCAGCTTTAAATGTATGAGCGTTATCTGACATAATAATTCTTGGAAGTGAACGACGAACCACAAATCTAAAAGCCAAAATAAATGACTCCTCTGTAAAATCCAGTACAATTTCAAGATGCACTGCTCGTGTTGCTGCACATGTAAAGAGGCAAATGTAAGTTAACGTCATAAAGTCTATCTTTCGAAAGCGGCGGTGGCTCAGGTGCGCGATAAGGTTTTCCTTTATTGCACTGTGATCATTTTTAAGGTGGTATTTCACACATTGACGAATCCTAGGAATCCAAAACTTCTGTTGAATATGCGCATTTGAGCTGTTTAGATTTGAGTGTAGATTTTTGTGATACATGTCCCTAATTATCAGCGATGTAAAATGGTTACAAAATTGAATACTTAGTATTATAATATAATAGTGCGTTGTTTAGTCTTCCTCTGCATCGCAATAATCCGATAATGTCCAAATACAGTATTACTTGTCTAATGATAGCAATTTTCTGTTTTGATATTGGGTTCAAACTATCAATCTCGGGTTGTAAGGTCGTCAGCTAATAAAATACGAATAAGTGTATTCTCGGCTTCTCCGATTTCTTGAATGCTGAGTGTTCCAATCGATCGCTCGCTTTTAAGGGTCTTCAGATTACGAATAAGTCTTAACACATATGATGTTATTCTAACCAATTCAGCTATTCTTGTCAATTTGAATACAACTTGCCTTTTGTTCATGTATCTCGAGATCCATAGATTACTCGGTATTTGTTGAAAATGTGTTACAGTATTCAACATTTCTTGTCCATGCTGGCCATTCTGCTTTGGTTGCGATCCATTTGGGTCCCTTTATCCAAAGTTCATTATTTATCAGCTGTTTTGCCGTAATTCCGCGGGTAAGATAATCTGCTGGGTTTTGGTCTGTTGGACATTATCGCCAATCACTGTTTTCAGCCAATTTTTTTATTTCTTTCAGACGATTAGATACAAATTTAGGTAACATTTTTGTTGACGATATCCAACTCAACACTATTTTACTGTCACTCCAAAAATATGTCTTCTGTGTGTCAATAAATCTAACTAAATAGTTCGCTAACCTGGTGCCTATCAGCCACTCATTAGTTCCAAACGTGGCAGAGTTATAATTCTTACCGAAGCGACTCTGTTTTTTTGTAATGATCAGACTAGAGGTATTCCCCTTGACTAAATAGGCACACGGGCCATAAGCTTGTTGACTGGCGTCTGTAAATATATGAAGTTCAGCCTCCTCTTGCGCATCAGATTCAAGTGTTATCTGGCGGGACATTTCTGTTTTTGTTGCTTTTTCCATTTCAACAGCGGACGATTTTCGACTCTTCTTTTAAAGTGCAAGGTAATAGTTCGTCCCAATTTAATTTCTCTTTCCATGATATTTGCATAAATAGTTTTGATGTCACAGTAATTGGTGATATTAATCCAACGGGTCAAAGATTTTTGACGACTGGCGCAACACTTCTCATTTTATTAATGGTATGTCATCATTTTCTGTCAAAGTAAGTTGATTATACAAAATGTTATCGGATTTTGTGTTCATGCACATTTCGGGTATTTAACTTTCTGATACTCGTCTCCTGCCTTTTCATGTATTGCTATATTTCGTAATTTTCATTTTTAGAATTCAATGATCTCAAGTTAAAACCGGCATCGTGTAATAATGTGCGTGCGATATTCTGAATAAATCTTGAGGAGAGTTGTCTCGTTCGGAAAGCTCGTTAGAAATTATCTACATATATGTTCCTTTGCAATTCTTTGAATGTTTTAGTTGGGTTTTCTCTAAAATGTTTCATCAATGTAGCATACAAAATAAAGGGTGAACAGGTTGCACCAATAAGTAAGTTATCAACAATTATCCCAGTTTAGAAATCATAGCATTTGGGTCATTGTCGCGTATTACTTTATCTTGCGTTATCTTCCAATAAAAGTCTTCTCCAATTAGACGAGTAAGCGTCTGTAATGGGGTGTGCTAGAGATAATCCACGTAGATAGTGTAGTCCATGCGTGATGTTTCTATTCTGGCTCTGATGTGGTGAAGCTATGGTTTGTACTTTCAGTACTTTTATAGGCATAATTTCTCTATTATTAGCTATTAACTGTACCGTGGTTTTGTCTAGATTTCTTATACCGTTAGTTTTTTGTCCAAAAAGAAACTATATTCAGATTTTTTCGGATCCCTCTTTCTGTAAATTTAATTTAGTGGCTTAGTCTGAGGTAATAAAAGACCGTTGTGCACCCTCGTCGAACTGTGTGTTTGCCTCCGCTGTATTGTTCACCGACATTACCTGACCTACTGCTGTTTTCAGCAAAATGGTTGACGTTTCTTGACTTACCGATGTGTACAACATTGAAGTTTCTGTTTTGTCCTTATTATCCAATTGAGGTGTAGTTTTTTTTGCAAAGTGATGAGTGATGTTTACGATGGCAAATTCTGCAGTCGTATTTAGAGCGACAATCTGAAACTTTGTGTGTACCAAAACATAATTTCTTCTCTTTAATAAGGGCTATTCTTCTTTCATGCTCTACGACATCCGTGCAGTCATTGGAAAAGTGATTCCCCTCAAAGAATGTGCATGCTTTTCTTTGTGTTGGATTTATTGTTTTTTTTCATACTATAATATTTCGATGTTTTTCCTGGTGGGTGATTTTGATTGAAATACTTTTTAACACTTGCTACAAAATTTACAGTATGATTAGCTATCGGGGGTTAATACATGTACTCAATATGGCGTGACTCCTGAATTGCAAGCTCTCTGCAAATAGCGTTTCGTTGTATATTCCAATCATCACTTCCGTTTTCTCGTGTAAAATTTTTTTCTGAAATCTGCCGGCAATTTCCCGAGAATTACTGGAATCAGTAATGAACCAAACATTTCTTGACATTGTTCTAATGATTCTAGACCTCTTATGTATCCCTCGGACTTATCGTACAAAGCTCTTAAACTCTCTAAACGCTCATCATCAGGCACAGACAAATCAAAAGGTGATCTCATGTATGCATTGATTATATTGTGGGCTTTTTTAATCTAATCAATTGAGATATTTAATATCTGTTCATCAATATCTAAAGTTTTCTGTTATCTTTTCAACTGCTTCAAGGAATGTTGAGATTTCCTCCGAGTCGAAAGGTGTATCACAGATGGCGTCCTCCAGTTTGTTAAAAAAAACTTTTGTCACAGCAGCTCTGTTCCCTGCTCTCACGGATTCTAATCTACTTATGTCCATTCTTTCCGTTATAATATAAGGTTTTGAGTTGTGTACTTCGCGGTGTGATAAGACTAGGTTGACTCTCAAGAAAATACTACTGTACAGTTCAATATTCTATTTAAACATAAGCATAAACATGGTTACAATATTACATAGATACGCGACGTCAAATAGTTAATGGCGACGTCATATAGTTAATGGCGACGGCATATATAGTTACGCTCCCGCAATCCTCGACAATCAGCTCAATATGTAAAGGCATTTTGCAAAAGGACGGTAAACACATTTGTTGCGGAATAATCGAATGACGGAATTAAGGAAA